TTTCTGTTTGAGTTTTTCGATTTCATTTCGTATATTATTGAGTTTCACAGTAATTCGATGTAGTTCTTCTCTTAGACATAATCTACTGAGATGTTCAGCTGCTGACGATATTTTTCTTGAAGTAATTGGAGTGCGTATGTGTAAATATTTTGGAATTATATGATTTTTCAAACATCGACTGTTGAAAATCCGATGGTTCGTGAATCTTGCTTCTGTTTGAGAAAGTCGTGTGAGTTTATTGATAAGCTTCCTAGTAGGAAGACCATATGTATTATTGATATAAGTATTGATACATATATATATTGATATATACATATATATTGATATGTACATATATATTGATATATATATATATATATATTGATATTATGGAATTATACTCTACCACAGTGCCCAAGTTTTATACTTAAATCAATAATACATATGGTCTTCCTACTAGGAAGCTTATCAATAAACTCACACGACTTTCTCAAACAGAAGCAAGATTCACGAACCATCGGATTTTCAACAGTCGATGTTTGAAAAATCATATAACTCCAAAATATTTACACATACGCACTCCAATTACTTCAAGAAAAATATCGTCAGCAGCTGAACATCTCAGTAGATTATGTTTAAGAGAAGAACTACATCGAATTACTGTGAAACTCAATAATATACGAAATGAAATCGAAAAACTCAAACAGAAACTCAAATGTATGGTCAATGACAAAGATTATCTAATTGTTGTTGAAACATCCGAAAAAGCTAGAGAATCAGCATTAAGAAAATCAAAAGCCACACAAATCAAAAAATTCAACAAACTAATTGAAGAAAGGAACACAGCAAATAAAATTGATGTCAACGCTTCATCCTCTATCGACAGAACAAAGTGGGTGATCAACCTCTCATCAAAGGAACTAAGCTCTAGTGAGATAAAAGTACTTGAGAAAGGACTAAATTTCAATATAACAGTTAACAAATTAAAACCAGAGGATGTCATTCCTAACATAGAAGTAGCGCTAGGTTCAATAGATAAGACAACAGCAGAAGGGGTTCGAGCACAATGTGCATTAACCCTGAAAAATCAGAAGAAGGCAAAATCAAACTTAACAAAATTGGAAAGAGAAGCTTTAATTAGTCTAAAACAGGATAAAAATATTGTCATTGCAAAAGCTGATAAAGGAAACGCCACCGTAGTTCTGAATAAATCTGACTATATCAAAAAAGTTATTGAACATATTCAAACGGGTCCATATGAGGAAATTAAGAAGCCTGTAGATACAATAATGAATAAGGTTAAGAAATCTACAGCAGAACTAATACGCAGAATGAAGCCGTCACTGGGTGAGTCTAAATGGTTTAACTTAATGCCTAAAACTAATAATGCTAGTAGATTATATGGTACTATTAAAATACATAAGCCAGGATACCCAATAAGGCCAATAGTAGATTTTAGAAATACCCCAACTTATGAATTATCAAAACACTTAGCTTTAATACTATGCCCTATCAGAAATAATTCAAACTCTAGATTAACTAATTCATATGAGATGAAAAGTAAACTAAATGACATTCAACTAGCGAATGACGAAACAATGGTCAGTTTTGATATAACTAGTCTTTACACTAATATACCAGTCAATATGGCCTTAGAAGCGGTTAAAAGAGAACTAACTTCTGATTCCGAACTTAGTCATAGGACAAAGCTGCCCATTGAAGAAATTATTTTAGGGATTCAGTTATGCCTCACATCTACTATCTTCAAGTTCCAAGGCAAAATATATAGACAAACAGAAGGTGTAGCAATGGGATCACCAATATCCCCTATTGTAGCAGACATCTTTATGGACAGCTGGGAAAATAGTGCTCTCAATACATTTAATCCTACGCCAAAAATATGGTGGAGATATGTAGATGACACATTCACAGTGTTAAAAACAGAACATATCTCTAGCTTCTTAACACATATAAACTTACAAGTAGAAGGAATAAAATTCACATTTGAATCAGAAAATGAACAAGGAGAATTAACCATGTTAGATTGTAAGATAAAACGAATAGAAGAAGGCAAACTACACACTAGTGTTTATAGAAAACCAACGCATTCTAATAGATATTTAGACTTTAATTCGTCTCATCCGTTAACTGTTAAGGCAGGCTTGGTTAAGTGTCTGACAAACCGAGCCATAGCACTAAGTAGCACAAAAAAGGACCTAAATGACGAAATAAAACAGATAGAAGAAGCGTTGGTGTTGAATAACTATCCTATAAAATTCATTAAGAAGATCAGTAAAGGCCAAAAACAAAATAAAAATAATTGTGTAACTAGTAGTAATAACATAAATAAGAGAGAATATAAGTCTTCTACTGTTATACCATATAAGGAGGGGACATCTGAGGCCCTACGTAGGATTCTCAATAAAGCAGGAATTAGGGTGGCATTCAAACCAACAAACTCACTCAGAGACAAACTTTGTAGGTTAAAGGACCCGTTGGACCCAATTAAACAAAATAATATAATTTACAAAATACCCTGCAATGACTGTGAAGTCAACTACATAGGTCAAACTAGTAGGTCAGGGATAGTCAGATTATCAGAACATAAGAATTTAGCGAAAGGAAAAATGATTGACCCTGAAAAGATAAGTAATTTAGAAAAAAGCTCAGCTATTGCACTTCACGCAATAACAAACAACCACACAATAGGGTGGGATAGGGTTAAAATTCTAAAAAGTAATGTAGGTAGGTGGAGAGAGAGGTTGATTACGGAATCCTTATTCATCGAGTCTACACCCAACACATGCAACAGAAGTGACTCAATGCAAATACCAGAAATATGGAAGATATTATTACCGCCAGTCAAATCAGAAGAGGATGATAAATAGTCTTAAAATTCTATTTCCATTCAAGCACATCAAAACATTCTAACAATTAACTTATTATGACTATAAAAACACTCGTCGTATTTCCCATCTAATTGCAATGGATTAATAACACTCGTATTATTGCCACCAGTCAAATCAGAAGAGGATAATAAATAATCTTAAAATTCTATTTCCATTCAAACACATCAAAACATTCTAACAATCAACTTATTATGACTATAAAAACACTCGTCGTATTTCCCATCTAATTGCAATGGATTAATAACACTCGTACTATTATTTCTGAATGTACATTATCTCATATTGAATTTTATTCCAATATCTAGTCGATTCCACACATGTATATAAATGAAGGAAAGAAGTTGTGTGAGTAACTTGATATGATTATGAGCAATAGTTTGTGCTCGAAACGTCATCAGTTAATATAACTGTACTACACTGTGTGATTTATCAAAATAAATTCTTATCCATTATAGCCACCTCCAATTTTAGCTATCAATTCAACTGCTCCTGTGGAGCCAGTTATATTGTCCATCCGCCTAGGAACTTAACTTTTCGTGTTTAGGAACACCTATCAGTATGGTTAAATAAAGGTGTTGTTACAAATTTCAACAATTCTATAGTGGATTACGTCGCACAAACAGGCCACAAAGATAGCTGGCATTGAACAGTCTTTCTATTTATTATTTTTTTATTTTGATTACAGCTTGATGCCACACAGTATTTTCAGTACAAGTATGGAATTTTCAGCATGGATATCGGTAGCCCAAATTTTGCAGGCCGACCATAGATATCAGGTGTGCGTCGGCAGGAGATCGAACCCCGGACCATGTGCATGGTCAGCGAGAGTTCTAACCACTGTATCGAATAAATTATCAAATGACTCTGGCTACCCAACACTCCAAACATCAGAGGCCATTTCAGTTCGATTAAATCAACCGGGGTGCTGTGCAGAAAAGTGACAGATCCAGGCAGCCACCACTGCTAACTTGGCCTTCTGTTGGTCCTATAAATTCATAAATCCTGTTTTACCTTCCTTGATTTGAAGTGACATTCAATCAGTTCGGTGTTATAATAGTGCCTGTTATCTCTCTATTACTGATGCTTTTGAATTGTAATCACCTAATGATAACAATCATTCTTTAATTATTACTGTCATATGAATTATCGGGAATAATATTCCTTGTTCAGTAATCAGTATTTTATTTTACTTTTACCTGTTACTTATACTTATTCCATCACGTAGCATCACTCAACTAATATGAACTTAATGATAGTTCAAGTTTAAACGGATATTTAAGTTGCAGCAAGATTTGAATCAATAACTTTCTGTAAATAGATTTATGAAACTCACCTTTTAAACAGATAACTCATTAAAATGAGTTATAGTCTACATATGTGTTTAGCATACATTCAGATATGTAGCAATTTTGAAAATAATTTATAGACAGAAAATAACTTAATGAAGAGTGACATACTGTTAAGGTAGTACACATAAACATATCTATATTTGCTATGTAAAGAGTTAACAACAGGAAGTCATTAAAAATAAATTTGTTTTGTTAAGTTGAATATGGTGAATATTGAAATTATCATCAGTATTATTATTATCATTATCGTTAAGTTGGTTAATTCACTTAGTCTCTTATCCCCAAAATTTTTTATTCCTTCACGCTCTGAGTGGAACATAGGGCGGCTTCAAGCTTGAGCTTTGAAGATTCACTAGCAGTGGTGTTGGTTTTTTTTAACGGGTGGGATTGCTAGCCTCCCCCCCCCCCCAACTTCTTTTTACGCAGCTTACCACCAGCTAAGCGAGGTTAAAGAGTACGTCGGCTGGGTGTCGACCCACTGACAAAATGCGGCGTGATTGGTGAGTACTCTACCATTGAAAGACTGACGCACCATTGTTTATACTTTATTTTGATTGACTGATATTTTGTTTGTACTTTTAACGAATGATTAAAATTATTTGCGCGAAATTTGAATTAATGAAATTTATGATGATCATCATGTCTTGGTTAATTGTTTGAGAAAAGTGTAAAGGCCCATTTTTAGGGAGTAGTATATCAAATAATTTACATGGTTATTATAAAGATGAAATTACCACTTAGTAAAAAATGCTTTAACACTTACCCCTTTCATATCGAGGTGAAAAATAATCCGTTTTTCTGGCTGCATTTATATCATCCAGTGTACCTAATCTTCTGTCTTTTTCTACTTTCAATGCCTCTTCAAGAGTGTTTTCAAGAGCAGCCATAAGAGCTAGATTACGACCACCTGTGTGTTCGTAGACACCACGAAGAGTTCTAGATTTTAAAAAATGTTCAAAACAATACTCTTATTCAATTTAACATGGAACTGTGCATAAAAAAGACATCAATCGACTCTACCACACCTCGGTAAAGCACGCAGAAAGTAAGCGAACAGAAGAATAGTCAAATTACTACAATGGGCAACTTTATGTGAAGGAAAACGTAACCCAGCGAATAACAGTAATACTGAGAACTCCAAAGCTGCTAAAAAATGGCAGACGGTGGTATCAAACCAGTGTCTCTTAGCATTCCGAAGACCCATACCACCAAGCATGCCTAAAACCAACAGTGAATGGATTAATGGAATGGTAGTTTTTGGCATCTGATCAAAATAAGTTATGAAAAATGGCATCAACCGTTAATGATTTGTATCCAAAAAACATATATTTCATCAATATAAACAAATGTTAATCAAACTTGTTTTCATTTAATTCGAGTTCTGAGTGGAGCATAGGGTTTTAAACTTTTGAAGTTGTGCTAGCACCATTATCGTTTCTGTGGAGTGCAGTTGTGTCAGCCCGATGCTTAACCTTCTCTCTTTTTGGGCTGACTGTCGACAAGTAAAGTAGGCGAGGTTTAGGAGTTTGCCGGCCGAGAATCGTATCCAAACCTCCCGAGTGGTTGGCGACCATTCTATCATGGAATGATAAATTTGAATGGCTGATGTTTATTTATAGAGAAATAAAAGGAATCAGAATTATTGAACTTTTATGGGTTATACACTGAGCAAATACAAAAGGATTTTACTTGGTTATAAAATGAATTTAATGAATAATTTCAGCTAGGATTTAGGTGATGGGTTTCAGTTCATTTTGGCTATATTTGCGCATATTATAAGTTATTTAGACAAGGAAAAATCCCAGTAATCATAGAAACACAAACAATAACAGTCTAGCAAGAGATCCTTTTCATCCACAAATTCTCAAGCGTTGCTTCCTTGGGATTTGGTTGACATCAAGTTAGATTGCATCATGAACTCGTTTCATCAGTTAGAGAAACAGTAAAATCCAAGGTTTACACGACAACTGTATTGTCCTAGTTAATCACTACGCATCCAGGGATTGAATCCAGGATCTTTGGTTTACAACCACATGACCAAGTCACCATTCAGCCGCAATTCAACGGCCAGTGAATTCTAAATTCTGCCAATTCGCGATATCAATAAAGTCATTTCTAGAGGCTATTACATGTATTTATATTCACTAAAACATATAACAGTTCATTATTAAATAGTAAGAAAATGTGATGTCATTGATATGGGGGTACAGAGAATTAGTTGCTTGATGCGGAGAATAAAAAAATTGTGTAATAACTAACAGGACCATGAAGGTAAAGCTTGGAAATTTGATTATGTAAAATGAAGCAAGTTATTTTGGGTGACTACTTGACCAAATGCCAAGAAAGTGAATAAAATGAACCTGTGTTATCTACTAAAAATACAGTTCAGTGAGTGAGATGAAGCTTGACATTAACTAGGAATTAGAGACTGAACTAACCTTCTCTGAGTACAAATTTCAAGCCTGAATTGATGAATAGCTAGCTCCTCTGTAGTGTACAAATTCTGCAATCTAACATCTCGTGGCATTAAACCTCAGTTTATGGATAATTTAGGAGAACTCTGAATAGACTGGATAATTTAAAATTGCCAGGTGCACAAAAAATGAGTTAGTGATTAGTTGGAGGATTTCATCATAAGCTGACATCAGTTAGAGAACCATTGGAAAATCTACAGGGAGTACTGGACAGCTGTTTCGTCCTGGTGCTCCGGACTCTTCATCAATGCGCACCCACCGCCAGAGTTAGAACCCAGGGCCTTCTAGTTACAAGGCGAGCTAGCTCGTAGACCATTAAGCCACTAGAACCCGATCCAGTGGCCAGCCAGTTCATGAATTCCAACTTCTGCCAACTCATGACATAGCGTGACCACTTCGCAATGTCTTCTTCGATGAGTTACTGCCTCACCTTCAACCTGATGTACCCTACTGGTCACGACTTCCCACTAGAACCCCATGTGCATCAGAATAATTTTCCAGTATTGGTTTTGCAGGAATTTTGTTGAAGAGTCCTCAACTAGGACCAAAAAGCTGTCCAATACTCCCAGGTTTTCCAATGGTTCTCTGACAGATGTCAGCTTATGATGAAATCCTCCAAACAATCAAAAAAATCCCTAGAGAACGAATTCTTGCAGGTTAATGATTAGTTTTCACCAACCAGTTGAGAAATACAGAATAACTGGTAATGGTTGTCAAAACTTGATTTTGTAGCTGATAAAGTTTTGTGTTTCTAATACAACATAAATAGGTATCCAGTAGAAATGAACAGTATTTTGCCTAAGTTAGACTCTAAATAATTCTATTGCCAACCTTTTTTGACAAACTAAATTCAGTTAGTTTCTAAGCCTAATGCAAATTCATTTGGGTTGTACATTTTATTACACAAGAAAGTCATATCATAAAATGAGTACGGACAAGAAATTTCTTCTTTGTAGGATACATACTGTACTGAAAGTTATCCAAATGGCAAAACCTCAGATCACACTAAATGGCTACATATGGTTATTAGTTCATCCAATTCAAACTATTCTACTTGATTATATTCATATAAGAAAAGTGTTTAGGTTGTTTTATTATTGTTTCCTTTGAACATTCTACTTTAAATTATATATTTATGTGCTTTCATGTCAGATATCAACTAAATGAACTTCTACTTTGTTCACAATATGCTTCCAACTTTATTTATTTATTTATTGTACAGGTTCAGGTGAAAAAAATGGTAAATAGACTGTTATTTGTGAATATTTCATAAAATTTGTATATAAATGACAGTGTTAATAAATATCTTTGCTATAAACTGATGAAGAGGTAAAAGTCTTGACCACTAAATACTGACTTTTACCTTAATATTACATGTTAACAGAAGAAATTAATAAAGTTAAGAGAATAGGATGTTATGAATATAAGCACATCCTACTTCTAGTACTTAGTAGTCGTGTATTTCGTTTACATTTTTTTATTCCCTACGACTTACAACATCATTTCAGTAATAAATAGCTGAAAATTATAAATTGACATTCGACAGTCAGGTTAAATGAAATAAGTAGTCATGTAATTATTGGTTCATTCAAAATTTAAAAAAGTTCCGATAAAATGTAATTCTTTATTAAAGGCGACGTACTGTTTAGTAAAATGTATGATGACAAGAGTTTTATGCTGAAAACATAACCCTAGAGAAATAGCTAGTGACATCAACTTGCATGTGACTATTCGTGAAATTTATACTAGGAAGGGACATCAAACGACTATGGTACTTTGTTGAGTATCTACGTTTTATTTTGGTATGATAACTGAACACAACACCACATATTTAATAACAGCATTGAGCGTAATAATAAAGCTTAACTTAATGCCAACAATGAAACCTCCCTCTCAAAGCCTTCTGTTTTAGTGAGCAATAGAAATATTGTCTAAAACATACTGTCATGTAACCGCAAGTGGAATATTTATTCATCCAAAATACCCTGTATATACAGTTTCAAGCATAAAACGGTGTTGATCCAGTAATGAAATAATATTTCGATTTTTTGCATATGGGGAAGAAGTTGTCTAATGAAATTACCCTGTGCATAGAGTAAAATGCGCCTAATATGAAACACAGTCTGTTACTCTGATAAACAATTACAAATGAACTGCACAGAACCCGAATGTTTATGCTGAAGTGTTTGACAAATTAACATTCACCACAATCTGAAACATAACTTTCACTGTAAATCCTGAATTAACTAGCGTTTTAATTTCAGCAGCAGCGACTATAACGCCACTGGAGGTTGCGTAACCAAAGCATAACATCGTGAGGAACTATTCTGTCTGAAAGTGTGAATAGTCATTTTACACACCTTAATAAAATAATAACTTAGGAACATTCTATCTGAACAAGCTATTAAAAATTCACTAAAAGCAGATTTTGAAATTAGTATACAAACAGACGTATTACAATGACAGTTTTGATTTATTTTTTAACTTGCTTTAAAATTCAGTGACTCATTCTGGCAAATTAAATTCAACTCTGGGTGAAGTCATTCGGACAGCGTTGTTCAACTCATATTTTAGACTTTTGTCAAGATTCTCATCTAAATAACTACTTGTTATAGTAATAAAACTACCAAGTGCCCCACTTCGATGAACTTTATGCTCTTTTATGAGCCAATATAACATATTAACAAGGCGTAAGGATTACTTGCCTCCCGACTTCCCTTACAATACAAAGAAACTCTGCAATTCACCTAGTCAACAGAACCATGTTTTTGGGATGTTTTTTATCGACAAGGAGTATATAAAAACCCTTGCAGCTATTATGACTGGCGAATATTTTTAAAAATAGCTTCTTGTATGTAGTAGTTACGGTACATTGATGAACACCCATTTTACTCCCTGTGGAAAATTCTGCTCATTAACAATAAGTTTGATATTCTTGTTTATTGTACGAAGCTCAAAGCCATACTGGGAATCACCAAGTAAGTAGCAAGTATGGTGCGTTTTATCGTATACCTTTGTTATACAAGTTATTTAGACATTTTTAACAGAATAGATCTGAGGACAGAGCATATCTCTTAGGTCAACCCACTTAAATTGTCCATCCTGGTGAAATTTGTGATTTGTGTAGGCCCTGCTAAAATTCAGACATACCATTCAGTAACAGTTGTCATTGTACATTCACCACACTTCTAGCTTTTAAGAAAACGCAGCTTTTCATCGAAGGAATGAAAAGAAATTTGAAAAATACAGGTAAACCTTGTAGCACGTGCTATAAAGAGTGCTGCTTCATTAACAAGAAACATACATAAATTAACAAACCTATACTTTACATGCCACTGATCTTCACTGAATCATTTTTTAACCTTGTAGGTTTTTATCCGTAAGATTTAAATCCCTTAAAGGGCTTGTCACTTGAGTTGCAAAAAATAAAAACGGAAAGATACTCATGGTATTTTATGGTTAACGATGGGAGTACTTAGCATCATTTTGAGGGTGAGGAATACTATGTGTTGTTTTCCCACTTTTCTGGAAGTATGTCATTTCAATTGATCAAGTTAACCATCTACCTCTTTAATTCGAAAAACGAGATAAATAATTAAGTCAAAATTAAAGCAATAATTTTAAACAGAAACAAAATTACTGGCTTAGTTTACCTTAATTCAATAACTAGCTCGCTGTCAAGAGGATAGTGTGTACGATAGAATTCACTAAAAGTATTATTATTTTTGACTGCAAAATCCTTACTGTAAATGCAGAAATGATTCTTGAAACCTTCGCCTTTCAATTAAATCTAGGGCAGTATAAGTTAGGTTACCCCTATTTTCATTAGAAAATTGGTCATTAATATAAAAACATACTCTTCAGGTGTATATTTCGGTAATGGATGATGTAAGGGTAGTGTGCCGGTATTTTTGAGGGGATCAAGGAAACGAGTCCGACGTTGTGAAGGTCTGCCATGTTGATAGAAAGTCTGATCACCATCAGGAAAACTGTTGCAGTCTAAAAGATTTTCACTGTATCGGGTTACGGGCATTTACCTTCAGAGCAATTATTTGTTGTGGCAAACTGTACACAACGCGATTTAGATGAATTCGATGAAGGTAGTTGTTGGTAGTCTACTGCATTTGCCCCAGGCGAAAGGCTAGATAAGCCGTTGTTCACGTCGGAGTTATGCGTCTTGTTATATTCTAAACTTCTGCTTTTTCTTGGCTTTGCAAAAACAATGCTGTCGGTTCTGTATTTTCTCACCAGTTTTCTGAGTCTTTCTAACTCCACTTCGAGAGCTTTAAAGCTAATTAGAAAATAAACATTTCGAACCTGTTTTGATGTCATCCATTTCATCAAGAATCAAAAAATGAAAATAAACTTAATGGATACATTATTCGTTGTTTTGAAAATGTTTTAGAGTCAAATGAAATATTTTCAACTTCATTAGTCTAGTTAAACAACCAAGAGGATTATATATGCGTTACCGTTTTCAACTCAAAATTGCATATAAAAAATCGTTCACATTAATTAAGAACATAAAAGGTGCTTTACGCTTATCATTTACGAGTTATAATACGTTGAATAAGGTGTTTTCATATTTTCCTTTGGGAGTCGTACGCATGTGTAGCTACCAAGTCGGGAGAATATGTACCCCTGAAGCATCGTGATTTGTTTGTTACTTTTAAATTCTCCCGCTTACGTCTCATTAGATGCTTCAAATTCCTAAAAAGCTGAAGAGATGGAAAAAATTTGAACTCCTTGTAGATCTCTTTTTCTACAGATAGTTGGGATTTGAGTTTTAACTTGCTATGTCATTGCATGTAAGATAAGTCTGTCATGTTCGCAGTAATATGTGTGACTGCTTCCTAGATGTTTGGGTCGCCTTTTTGGTAAGATTTGCTTTAGTGAAGTCCTTTGACCTAGACCCCATCAAAAACGTGTACAAAGTTGTTAGCACTAATTTACTGATTCTATTAGGGATTTCGCTCATTACCAATAAGGAGAAGAGATTTAAGTTAGTAACGATGTCCTGTACGTTGTAGTCATTGTTTATTGTGATCTTTTGGCGCCCACGTCATTCTTTGTAGATGGGGATGATATTTCATATTTCCAGTAGGGTTCTAACACAAGATTTGTGTGGGATATCCAGAACACAGCAGCTATTGATCTGGCTATTTGGATATTCACAGGATTCGACTGATTTTCTTGAATTTACTTTCCATATGAATCTGAATGCAACGTTTTCGCCAGTATGAAGGGAATCCTCACCTTGGCGCGACTTAATATGATAATATGTGTGACACCGATTCCTGTATAGAAGTTAACGTGAGGTGATCTTCAACTACTTCCGCTATATCGTTGCCGTACTTGATTATGTTTGTTTCGGTGATTAGGTCTATGGGACCATGGTACCTCATGCTTCTCAGGCTCATATTCTAGAATAATACCTTGCGATGTTCTTGTGCATTTGGCATCAGGTGCATTCTCAGATCAACTCTTAATTGCCGAATCGCTATGTAAAGTATATTTCTGGCTGAAGTGTACAACTTCTACATCGGATAAGTTGGTCCCACGCAACCACGTAGTACAGTGTTAGTGACTCGATGACGTTTCGAGCATAATTTATCCCTCATAACCATATCAGTCAAACTGATGTGGTTATGGTAGTAAATTGTGCTTCAAAACGCATACAGTTATCAGTGTTGTGCCAGTTTTTAATCGACAGAAATGAACTCATCTAATATTGAGTTATATTCTGCCAGTATACCCAAATTCTCGAGTTAAGTAGTGTACAGCTTTGTGGCCTGTTGGTGGCAGGTATATTTCAGCACCTGAACTTCAGACTAAGTAGATTTCAAGACTACGGGTCCCTTGATGAGTGACAATATTTTCACTCATGATAGGGCAGAAATCCACGGAAAAAAGCTTTAAAATCTTTCAATAAAATATGTTGTGCTGTTTATTACCTAGTAAAAGTTTCTTGCAATAAGATATTCTGTCTCTATATCAGGGACCGGGAATCTCACTGAACCATATCAACTTACTTATACCATCTCGTTTGCTACTACAGAGCTGAGTAAATTGCCCATTCTGCTTTTGAAATACTGCCATGAACAACAGTCAGCCTGACTGACAAACGCAAAGTGGAAATACGTATTTGGTTTGTTTGCAAGATTTAGTGAAAACCCGGCTCCTTGAAAAGAATCCCTCAAAGCCCCATAAAAAATCCCATGCAACTTCCCAAATGCAGAGACAAATTTATAGCTAAAGCCTTAGTGACAATAAACGTCCAGCCAGCTATGTATTCAAAATAAGTATTTTTGGACTGACATTTAATGATACTACAAATCCAAGAAAAAGGTCCAAGGCCTTACGCAGAGATAATATGTAGAAGAGCTACCAGTGTGCTTCATTTTTCCCCGGTATTTGTAGTCTATCCACCACATAAATAAGCGCATTCCCTCATACGAAGATAATAGTTTTATGTCCTAATATACTGCATTCATTAATCAGTCAGCAGTCTGATAAAAGGATGACAGAAGTGTGATTCCACCATAAACTGAACCTATAAGATTTAAACAATAACTCACTCATGCCCACATAGTCGGCATGCGCCTGCAGAGACAGGAATAGTGTCCTTGTTTTTGATGCTCTTCATGTTTCATCTGAATGCTATATTTTAGGTTTATTGCTTCCGGCCCTACAGAAGTGCCTTCCCCTGTTCCTAAATCCTCTGCCAATGTATGAATGTATCGCTATCATTTTAAGGTTTCTAAACTTGTCCACTGACAAATCAGCTGACATTTCCAAAAATATACAGCACGAATAATTTCAGTGCATTTTACCCGGACGTACTCACCAACACGCTTTATACACGCAATTCGCTACCATAAGGTAGGCATAGTTTACTAGCTTTGAAGGTACTTTATCTGATATTTGGTACCCGGCGGAACTCTGTCTGGGTGCATCGTTGACAAAATAATCGGATGCTGACTAGCTAACATGGAAGTTTGGGTTCGATTCACAAGTGGCAATAAGCCCGGAAAGCAAGGAAGACCACATGCGGGTCTAGCAACACCTGTTTTAAATAAAACTAACGCTACTGAAACGCACAAGACTGAAGCCATATTTCACGCTTGGAAATCAAGGATTAAAATATTTGTCCGAGGGGTAATCCTCTATTTATCTAGGTTATCAAGCGGCCAACCGAATTTCCAGCCACGACTTTATCCTTTCTGTCAGTATCAATTATTTTGAGCCTAGGCTCTGAAAGTCCCCATTTAATATTAGAAACCACCTCAGGAAAAGGGTTAAGCAAAACTAGCTAAGAGACAAAATCCGGTGTTCCACTTGTAATAATGCAGTAAGTGTAGGGATACAAACCTAAAGCTATCTTTTCTAAACATTAGGATCGCCGAGTGAGAATTCGGTGATAATTATTTTTTCCTCAAACGGCGCCTTTGAATGTTAATCCCTTCAGTGTGATAATTCTCCTCTACACCATCCGTCCGCATTTCTACGGGATCGAATGTGGCGGTGAGTGAGGACGATGTGATGATACGATAAGTTTGACATGGACCAGAGAATGGTCAGTAGGACAGGTCAGTGAAACAATTTAATTATGTGTAAAACGACACACATTTGGATGTCGATATAGTTGAGATGTGATGAGATGTGGTGCGACGAAAAGTCGAACTGTAAATAAGAAGACATTCCTTAAGCAACAAATTTTAAGGAAATGGGGCGCTTCCACTTCTCCTTGAGAGGCAGCGTTAGTTTGAAGTTTGTTACTTCTCTGTGTGGTTTTCTATTATCTTTTTTATCCGTAGGTTTTTGCATTCTAAGGAATGGCATTGAAATCTATGGAACAAGGACGTTGACTGTCGGCCGTGCATCCGCGCAGCTGAATGCTCCAAATGCTGAAACTTGGCTACGTGGTGTGTCTATTCCATGTTTTCCAGGCGTTCTTAAAAGCATTTCATTCGTAGTAATCAACAAAATAGTGGCAGTTCCCAAACCAACGTCGTGGCCAGAGTTTTCCATCTGGTAGGGAGTGTGGAAAAATATTGACAGACCATATTGACTGGTGGTGGCTCTAAAATCACGAATTGGTGGAAATTAGAATTGAAGGGCTGGCCACTGAGTCTGGTGCGGTGAATGAATGGTTCATACACTTGACTTGCAACCAGAAGGTTATGATTCCCAACGCCGGTGGTGGAAGCATACTGAGGATGATTTCCCAGCTCGAGGAAAACAGTTGTGCAGTACTCCCTGGTTTTCAATGCTTCTCTCACAGGTATGAATCTTTGGCCATATTTATCTTCAGAAGTGGTTATGCTGAATGTTGAACAGACGCAGTTATACGAATTAGGTTCACAATTTACACTGCACTCCACAAGTTTTGCTGTTTAATTGACATCAATTGACCCAAATGATCCATCAGCTGCCGCAAAACCTTATGTAATCCCTGTATAGATGTGGTGGTAGTCAAGTGTTCATTTAACAACTACTGAAGATTGCAATCCTGCTGTATGTATAATGCATAAATCCGAGATTTTCTGCCACTTGCATCGCCAGCTGTTTACCATTTAATGGATTTATAAAACCACGTAAAGTACAGTTCCCACTTCATTGTGGGGCATCAACTAGGAGTTTTGAAAAAGTAGTGCGTCAGTGTATAAGTTTCATGATTGCCACTTTAGGTACTGCATTCACTTAGTGCTGAATCCAAATTATCAGAGGAATAATATTCCCAAGGTGGATATGGTACAAGGCTCATTTCTGCAATTTCCGTCCCCAGTTTAGCTTTACCTCCTCATACACATATTAATGGAATTGTCCGTGTTTAACTTAAGCGACTTAGAGGGGAACACCATTGTCAATCTAAAGTATGTTGACGATAATGTCCTCCAAGTCTGTGAGATTGAGGCATTGGAGGCGGAATATAAGAAAAGACTACCTGTGTTTAGCTACCGGTGTCTGTGTTCTACCCCTTATGTTTCAGGGGTATAATACAGTGAGTAATATAGGGATTAAGCGTAATGCTGAGTTGAATACAAATATATTGATAATTTATCTACTTCACCATTGATTGTTCGCATGTGAACTATTTGAACTATTTGTCACTTATCGGACGTTCCATTTCGGAATACAAATTGTGCCCTGCCTAAATACCCATTAAGACCTTGACGGACAGTTCTAACTTTTGAATTTCTTTATGTGCTCCATTGAACGACTAGCTATCAGATAGTACTCACTAACTAATGTCAGAGAGGACAGCAACCTTGTAATTTCACTTTAAATCAAATTCATGTAATTTAAATAATATTTATCCATGCCTGTACAACTGGTGTGTCCTACATAGATAGGAAATATATATTTCTGTAAATCACACTGTAGAAATAATTTCCCACAGCA